ACAGCACTGAGAGATCACAGCAGAGTGAGCACTGACTGGAGGAGAGATCACAGCCTTCACTAACAGTACTGCCCTGTAATTCCTGCTGCATGGCAAGTCAATTGTACCTTGCATAACTCAAGCCCACCCAGAAGTGGGGAGGTTTGGCTGTCCACACCCCACTTCTTGCTGAATCATGGTAAAAGTTGGCTAATGAAGTAGCCCAGAATGTAACAGGCTGTGTGGACTAGAGGGCTCAAATTGGTGTATTTCTGACTGAACCGCTTGGATGTCTCTTCACGGCTTCTTCCAAGTGGTGGTTATGGTGGATAACCATGAAGCTGAAGAAACAACAGAAAAAAGCACACCAAATAAGAAAAAATACCCAATCCCGGTCTGATACAACACGAGTAGGAAACTGCGAAACACCGCCAAAGTAAACTGTCCCCTTTCCAGGTTCCTTTGAAAACCGCCTTCAATACGTCAGCAGGGATTGTTTTCCCTGGAATCCGAGTGAAGAAGTTTTCCGTGTCCGTCTCCGCAGCAACAAAGCTGATAAAAAAAAAATCAATGCTTTTTTCTTTTAAGGCGGAGAATGAGAGGCTCTGAGGCCCGCGGGCGCGTGTGATGTTTCTCTGTTCCTGTCTGACATTGCCGGGCTGCGCGTTCTGTTGAAGGGATGTTCCCCTCCGCAGACACCTCACCCTCACATCTTCCTTTCCCCTGCTGCCTCCCCAGCACTGCCTGACTCAGAGAGAAACCCGAAGTGCACAAAATAAATCTTCTCCTCGGGCTTCTGTCCCCCCCCACCACCGCCACCTTTTCAGCAGCAGCAACACGAGCAGGTCTCTGTAAAATTCCACAGCCAGTGTGTGAGCCCCCGAACAAGGCGAAACTAGGTCAGGCCTGTTATTGCAGGATAGGCTCACCGACTGAAGGCCTGCGTAGATAAACCAGCACACACACACTCACACACACTCTGACACTTGTTCTCAGCTTCCAAAAGCATTATCTCACACCAAGCCTGCTGGCCAGCACAAACACACAGAGAGCCTAGTATAGCTGCACATGTGAAGGTTTTCCTGGTGAATGCCAATGTTGGAAAAGCAGGTGCAGTTAGGCGCCTCCAGCTATATGGCAAATTACAACATGACTAAGGGAAAGCACATATATCACCTGAGCAGCGAAAAACTACGGAATTAGAGGACAACCGTACCGTGGTAACCGTTTTCCTTGACAAATGCACACGCTGACACGCAGCCTCCGAACGCGTTTGTGTTGGTGCACACCAAACGCACGCTCTCCCGCACACGGAGACACGGACACGCCCCCACCCATCCGCGACCTCACCCCCGCATGCAGAACCCGGCCACCCCAATCTCTGACTCCGGCAGCCAGCGGAAGAACAGCAGCTGTCGCCCCCTCACGCTCCCTCGCTGACGCACAGGCACCGCGGTGGAGGCCGAGCAGGGCAGCCGCAGCCCTCCGACGCCCGCTCCCTCACCCAGAACACCCGATAACGCTGCACAGCAGCCCGTCGATGTGCCGACAAGGAAGATGGCAAGCCCTCCCGTGGGATTCCCGGAGGCTTGCGCAACGCCTCAAGAATTCCAATGTTTGGTTGTCCTCTTTTCTGATATTTTTTTGTCATTTTTTTGAGGCCGCTGTCTCTGGTTGCCTGCTGGGCCAAGAGCACACAGTGCCAAAACACTCAATTACTGCTGAGACTCCAATCCCAAACAAGGCCATTCGGTCTCTGTGGTCTGTGTGGTAGTCAGTAATCAATGTATCCTTGGATCTTACCCACGTGTTTCGTGCAAGCAGCAAAGTATCGGCTTCAACAACATGATGGGTTCCACACTCCCACCCCTCTTAGTGTAAAGTAGTCCCTCCCATTCTCTGTGTTAAAAGCATGTAGTCCCCACTTGTGTCCCCTGGTGTGTGTTTCACCTATCATGCAGAAGAATTCTGCAGGGCAGACTTCGGCAGTGCCATCGAGGATTTTGAATACTTGGGTAAGGTTTTCTCTCCGTTCAAGACTCAAACAGTTCAGTTCCTACAGTCTGCGAGTGTAGGATTCCTCCTTGAGGCCTGGGATGTATCTGGTTGCTTGACTCTGGCCTGAGTCCCAGCAGCAGTATCTTTTCTATAACGTGGCGACCAAAATTGCACACAGTGTTCTAAATGAGGCCTTACTAGCGCA